TTACATATGAAACTTGTTGTACAATCTGGTTAAGGAAGCCAATGTTTAGCTTGACTCAGCCTTGCTTTATCTTGTTCTAAGAGCTGTTTGCCTTCACTTTCTAATGTTATATTGCATGTTTTCTCATTTGAGTGTTAGAAATGGGAAACCTATTTAGATTTGAATTTTAACATCTATGTTAACCCCCAAATTTAAGATATGCACGTTTAACTCGTTTGAATTTACGATTTTTAAGTTGTCATAATGACAATTATATCAAATAGATTATGAGTCTTTGATACACTGAAATTAATTTTCTAAAAAATAGTTTACATTAAATAAATTATATATATTTTTTTGGAAAAAATTTATAGTTTTCGTTGATGTTGTGGAAGTTATTTTCTACTAGTTGATAATTATTATAAAATTATTTATTATAAATCATTTTCTTCTATATTATACTATTAAAATAATAAATATATTTTATTATATTAACTATTTATTAAAATAAGAAATTTCTATTATATATTAGAAACTATAACATTAAAAATAAGAATATTATATTATATTTTGAAATTATTAATAAATATATTTTTTTTCAATTTTAATAATATTTTTAAATATATTAACATTATATAATTATTAAAATAATATTAAAATATTACTTAATATTAAATACATAAAATTATTCATAATTAATAATTCAATATTATTATTTTTATGAAAAATAGTAGTTAAATATTTAATGATTTATTATATTTTAAAATAAAAATATTAATATTATAATAAATTGAGTATATTTTTATAATATTAAAAAAGGAAATAACAATGTTTAAGGAAAGAGAAAATCTTGTATTATTTTTTCTATGTGAAGTTTATCCAGGCTTTTCTAATCTTTATATTTATGATTATAAGTAGTAGATGTGATATATAACTATAATACTAATGGATATTAAAGATCTGATAATAAAACACATTGAAATCATATCTTATATATTAAGATAGACATCCACATAAATAAATATTCATTATACTCCCTCTTGAATGTCTTTAAAGATAATATGTCTCGTTAAAATTTTACTAAAATAAAAATCGTGTGGAAAAAAATCTTAGTGAAGGAAAAAACATACATATAATTAATACGTATAACATGTCACCTCATTAAAAACTTTATTAGGAGAATTTAGAAGGACAAAACCTTGATTAATAAAAAAAAGAGTATCACATCTATTTATTCCCCTTCATATATTCATCATTAAAAATCTTGGAAACAACTCGATCCAATGTTGAAAAATTAAACTCTCAAACATTGCAATAAGAAGTGTCTTAGTAAATAAGTCTGTCAAATTTTTACCTGATTGAACGTTAATGTTTCCACTTTTTTGTAGATCATGGGTGAAGAATTTTTTTAATGATATGTGTTTTGTTATGTCACTTAAATTGGGTAATGTAAGTTGTATTATCTTCTTATAAAATTGTCGAAGTTTTTTTTTTGAAGTATAAACAACAATCTCTTGATGTCTTGCTGCTTCGAAATCGTCTCTACATGCTTTACGAGATTGCTCGAATGTTATCGCTTTGTGGAAGCAATTCTTACCCCCTCCACTTGAAGATCCGTTCTTTAAACCAGATATCAAAAACTAATTCATGTTGAATCTAACCTCAAATGCTATCCATCTACCATGGAAGATCCTTTTTGTTGCTCTTATTTGACAAATATGAAAGCGTAGAAGTGAAGTGGTTTTCAATAACTAGTTCACTTTTGATGCAAATGCTGCTGCGAATCAGACCCAATTAGGTTAGTTCTACAATGATGAGACGCAAATTTTCATTTCCTCGCCATCGCTTCAAGCTGTCCCCTCACTCTGGAAGCATCCCAATCCAGGCTGATTCTACCTTAATGTAGACGAGATTGTTTCCCAAACTTTTAGTCTTGGTTTTATTGGGGGTTTAATCCGGGATAACAGTGATTGTTCGTTAGTTGGTTTTCATAAAGCAGTAGGGATCCTTGATGCTTTACATGCAGAATTATGAGCTATTTTTTATGGTCGCATGGATTCGAGATAATTCAGGTCTAATCGGATTTCAAGCAATCCGATTGTATGATCAATTATAGAAATGTTGTTTCCTCGTCCTTTTTACCAGTTCACGATATTATCAGGATTCGTACAAAAGGATGGATGATGGATATACGTTGGGTCTCGCGTGACGAGAATCCTATCACCGATGCCATTGCAAAGCTAACCAACTCTCTATCGTACTGTATAACGATTCTCCACAATACACCTGTCTTAGTCCCCCGTCTTGCTAGTCTAATATAGGAGCTAAAAATTGTGTTGATTGAAGCACCGGTTCTGATTCAGCCCGAACATAATAAAACTTATACAGTGTATAATGACGCATCTCACATCAAATTGGTATATGTATTTTATGTAAAATCTAAATGTGGTGATTTATGCATCAAGTTGAAGACTCGTGAGTGAAAAAACCTTACTCATCCAAATAAATACTATTCGTAATCACTTCAAACTATTAAAAAATTTATATTATAAAATTTAAATAAATATCATGAATTAAAATTCAAATGCCTAAACCCAATTAAAAACAAACTTAAGCCCACAACCTAATCCATGATCATTGCCACAATGAAACCAAATTAAACCCTAAAAAGAAGTGGCCACTTCAAATTAAGAGAATTTCTAGTAGCCACTTTAAGTTCTTCTTCAAGAGAATTTCTTTAAGTTAAGAGTTTGAATTAATCTCAAACTAACAAAACATAAGAAATAAAGGTAGAATGTGGTCTTACTCCAATATTTTGCAAATAAAAAAAGGAGAAATATCTTGGGAACAGTCTCTCAAAAGAATTTCAAGTGGTCTTCTCTTCTTTTCAACTTTCGCTCCAAACCCAATTCCCCCCCCCCCTTTCTGTTTATTTTATTCTTCTTCCCTCACACTCTGTACAACCACTAGTTCTATCTACCTGGGTACTGTAAGAATTTGCCTCACGTTTATTGTTACTTTTAAAATGTAAATTTCTTTTCGTTTGTTCTTTTGTTGTTTCGAGTATCTGATTCAGATCTTAATTTTTTTCTTTTTATGATTTTCAAAGTCTCCTGCACTTTGGGTTTTATGTTTTCGTGTGTTTATGGTTTTTATGTATAATATATACCGCTTCTTCAATGGTTAAATCATAGATGGTTTTTATGTTTTCGTGTGTTTATGGGTTTTTTTTCATCTGCTTTTGGGTGGATGTAGTTTGGGTTTTATGGTTTCTATGGATACTGGGGCTTGTTTGGTCCTTGAGAAAATGGGAAATGGGCAATAAGAAGGGTGTCTGCTTAATTTTATCGGAGTTGCTAAGAATTAATCAAATCCGCTTGCTGCTATTTTGTTTTGTTTTATTTATTTTTCTGGTGACAATGTATGATTGCATGCGGACTGGTTTTGCTCCACTTGAATCTTTTGTCTGGCATGTACCGACTACTAAGCATAATATATACTTGTTATGTGTGTGCTTTTCCTTTCATATTTTTCTGGGCTCACTCCTCTTAGATCCATATGAATTTTAATTTAATTTCTTGTTAATATGGTTGGTTGGTTGCTATGATTTTATGTCATTTTTTACCATGAAATCCGACCCATTCATGTTTTTATGTATTTTCTATGGCTTCAATCGGTATGTTTTGGTTGGCTTGTTTAGATACATTGATGCTGCTATCCGAATAAAATTTACTAATGGGCTGATGGCTTTACTTGTTATATTTCGACTGTTGTTGCAGGCTTTACGGTTTGAGTTCTTAGCTTCTGTGAACATTGGGATTTTATTTGAGTCCGGCTGCTAGGAACTGTTTGGTGCTGAAGGCCGTTCGTTGCATCTCATTTAAAACTGGATGTGTTGACTGCTGAGGCTAGCTGCTGATCTTTGGTGATTGCTGCTATAATGGTGGGTGTCGGGTGTGAATGTTTGAACTTTAGGTTTTTTTCTGGAGAGTTATTGGATATATTTGACCAAAGTTGTTTGGTTGCATTGGTGCAGGTTGAATATTTGTATGATAGTAGACAAAGGATAAATAGAGTCTGAAATCCGATTGTTTAATCTTGAAGCGCTATCAGCCATGGAATGTAACAAAGAGGAGGCTATCAGAGCAAAGGGAATAGCTGAACAGAAGATGCAAAATGGTGATTTTGAGGGTGCAAAGAAGTTTGCACTGAAGGCCCAGAAATTGTTCCCTGAACTGACAACATATCACAATTGTTGGCAGTATGTAATGTTCACTATTGTGCTAAACACAACATACACGGGTCAGAAAAGGATTTGTACGGGATTCTTCAAACTGAACAGTCGGCTGACGAGAGTTCAATCAAGAAGCAGTTTAGAAAGCTCGCATTATTGCTTCATCCAGACAAGAATAAATTTCCTGGTGCTGAGGCTGCTTTTAAGCTGATTGGGGAAGCAAACAGGGTACTTACAGACCAAAGACACGTTCTCAATATGATTTGAAGTGTAGAGTCTCGGTGAAAACTATACCAAAGCCAACTTCTCACCCATCAAATAAGGCCTCCACTGGCAACAGTCAGTCTGATTTTACTAACTACAAGAATGGTTATTCAAAGTTCACAGCATCAAATTCCTATCAGCAAGCACAACATCTAACATTTGGACCAGCTGCAGTGCTTGTGGTTTCAAGTTCCAGTTTAACAAAGATTTGTGAACAGGATGTTACCTTGCCTTTCATGTAGATGTATCTTCATTGCCCACGACTTGGGTCCTCAGGGATACCCATGGAGTCAGTTCTCCAGTCAGAACCCTTGTAACTCATTTTCGCAACACAATAGTGGCAAGCCTTCTGGTGTCCACTTTCAGCATAACTTTGCTGGGTCTGCTCCTATTCCAAAGGCAGGAAGCTATCAGGTTGGTGATTCTAAGAAACAAGAGAAAGTAGGTGTTAAAATGAACCAGTCTAAGGAGGGTTTTACAGCTCAGAAAGATGAGTTTTCAAACATGAGATAGAAAGAAGGTGTTGAAATGCCTGAGCCCACTGCGGCGAAGCCCAACGAATCAGGAACTTCAAGAAATGCCAGGAAGAAGAGGAGAAAGTCAGTAGAGCAGTCTGATGAAAGTTGTGAAACTGGTGGTGGAATCAAAGTTGAAAATGTGGTTAGTAAGGAAGATTGCAATAATAGTACTGGGGCAAACTCAGAAGTGAGTGGAGGCAATCCTCCTAGGAGATCTTCACGGCAAAAACAACCTGTTTCTTATGAGGAAAAGTTGGCGGATGATGATGATTTTGAAAGCCCTTATAAAAAATCTAAGGTAATGCCACCACCCAAAGCTAATGAGGAAAAGTTGGATGATGAGGTAATGAAAAAGGATAACTCTGGTGGTTACACTGCTGCAGATGTATGTAAGAAAGAAGGCGAACAGAAAGCAAATGCCCCTCCTGAAGATGAGGTAATGAAAAAGGATAACTCTGGTGGTTACACTGCTGCAGATGTATGTAAGAAAGAAGGCGAACAGAAAGCAAATGCCCCTCCTGAAGATGATGTCCTGATCAAGAAAAGGAAAATTGGAGATTCTAAAGGAAGGGAGGAAACTGTTATACTTGATAACAATAAGGTGCACCAGTTTGATAGCAGTTTTGAGTCAAGTAGAGATGTGAATTCATCTCGGGAACTTGAATATCCTGATCCGGAGTTCACTGATTTTGAAAAGTACAGGGCGGAGGACTGTTTTGCTGTTAATCAAGTCTGGGCTATATATGACACATTGGATGGCATGCCAAGATTTTATGCACGGGTGAAGAAGGTGTATGTTCCTGGCTTCAAGCTACAAATTACTTGGCTAGAGTCTGACCCGGACGAGGAAAATCAGCAGAACTGGGTCGATCTGGATCTGCCTGTTTCTTGTGGCAAGTACTGCAATGGGTCATCAGAGACATGTGTAGATCGTCTAATGTTCTCCCATCAGATAGACCCCATAAAATGTTCCAGAAAATGCTTTTTTGTTTATCCTCAAAAAGGGGAAACTTGGGCTCTCTTCAAAGATTGGAATGTTAAATGGGTTTCAGAGCCAGAAAAGCATAAACCACCATATGACTATGATTTTGTTGAGGTTCTTGCTGATTTTGATGAGGAAGTTGGCATTGAGGTTGCCCATCTGTGTAAAGTGAAAGGGTTTGTCAGTATTTTCCAACAAGCTGAACATGATGGGGTTGTCTCATTTCATATATCATCATGTGAGCTTTATAGATTTTCACATCGAGTTCCCTCACTCAGAATGACTGGCAACGAAAGTGCAGGTATTCCCATGGGATCTTTTGAGTTAGATCCCGCTGCTCTTCCTACTTACCTTTTTGAGCTGGTTGATTCTAATGATATGAAGCTGGGTAATCACAATGCCGAAAATTGTTCCGGTCCTAATCATCCTCGCAATCAAGCAAAAGCTACAATAGATTCAGAGAGTAATCTAACTTTTGTAAATAATCAGAAGGGTAACAATAAAAAAGAAGCCTCTGCATCCAGAATATCTACAAGGGGATCACGTTGTATGCTTGAAGATCATGGTCAAGTTGATGCAGTTCATTATAAGAATGAGGATGATAGTATTGAAGCTATACGTGATTGCAACTTGACTCAGCCCAAAGGAAGTTTTATTTCAGATGATGCTATTGAGAAGACGAGCACCCTAAAAAGAGTGAGAAAATTTATCTCTCTACAGATTGCCTAAAACCTCGTAAGTCACCGAGAGACTTGAGCAGAAGCAGTCAAGTAAATGCAATTCAACATGACACTGGGGAAGATGACAAGAAACATTCAGTTTCCAACAAAAATGAAAAGCCTGGCAGTTTTGGTAATACAGAAGGAATAATTTCCTTGAATCCGCCTGTTGGAAAGATGCGTCTACACGAGAGGGATGATAGTACAGTTGATTTTACTAAAAGCTCTAGTGTGTCTACACTGACATCTCCAGCACGGAAAACTTCAAATTTAGAGTGCTACGATTTTAAGGGGGAGAAATCCGTGGACAAGTTTGCAGTTGATCAGATATGGGCATTGTATTGTGGGGATGGAATGCCAAAGGACTACGTGCAAGTTAAAAAGATCAAAGCTACTCCTGATTGCAAATTGCATGTAGCACTGCTGGAGGTGTGCTCAAGACCCAAAGACTTGAAACTGCCCATTTGTTGCGGGATATTCAAAGTTAAAAATGGTCAAACTAAATTGTCTCCTGTAATGATGTCTCACATCAAGTAAGAGCTGAGCCCATAGGGAAGAACAAATACAAAATTTACCCTAGAAAGGGGGAGGTTTGGGCAATATATAAGAGTCTGAACCATGCGGATTCAGACTTGGGTAAGTTGATTGTGACATTGTGGAAGTATTGGAAGATAATGAAAGAGCAAGAAAGTTATGGTTCTCTCATGCGTAAACAGACCTAAATCACTTTATAGGGCTCCAAGAAGTCAAAGATCTACTGCCGATGTTCATGTGATTCTGGAGACTGAATTTGCCAGATTTTCTCATCAGATTCCAGCTTCCTGCACACAGAAGACCATAGTCACTGGAGAGGATATTGGGAGCTTGATCCCTCTGTCATTACCGGTATTACTAGTTTAGACGGAACTGCTATTCTCTCTTCTCAGTGTAACCAGGAGATTCTCTGAGTATGCTCCATGGGAGAAAACGGGAAAAACTCGGTGGAAACTTAATTGATTTTGCCCCCCTTCCGGATATCTTGCATGGCCTTTACCAGTAGCCATTTTGTTTTGGCCATAACTGATGTTTATGTCTTTCAGATGGTGAACTAATGCATTTCATTTTGATTTTCAGTTGCAAACTTGCAGTGATGATGATTTGAATTCTCATATGATCTGCATCAGGGCTTATCTTGCCCCTTCTGTTTTGATGTTTATTTGCATATGTAAATATTTTTCCGATATGAGTTGACAATTTTAATGGCCTTTAGTTGGATTTGTGATGTCATTTTCATGTTTTTTAAGGGATATCTATGCATTTCAAGGAATGGATGCACTCCGGCGGTGAACTTGTGTTGGATACCGATCTCCGAAGCCGAAAATAGTTCATCTTCCTCGGATTATCTCCTAGAATGTAATTAATCTGTGTATTTAATGAGGAAACAATAAAGACTGATGTTTTAATGCATTATTGCATGATTAGGACTTGGATACCATTATCAGGCCTTAAAGAAGATCAATCCACCACCTACCATTAAATCACAGAAGATCATAGATGATTAAATGCCTCTACAAATTGCAGGAATGAGACTTCAATCCTAAACCCTATGAGATTTTCTTGTGAGAATTACATGAACCTAAGTTCTCTTTATCTTAATAGTTAGCTTTCATGCATATGGTTTTGCAAAGGATTGGTATTGAAACTATTTACCAGGTGTTGTATTGAAGTTTTTTTTTCTGAAATATATGAACACACAAGCTAATAAGTCATGTTGGAGAATAACTCCAATGCTTTAGGATCGTTGGATAAGTACATATAAACGACTAAAATTATATATCTCTAATATATACTTTAAAAGATAAAAACGGAATAAAATTTGAAATTAAAACAAAAGAAATTGTATTCTTAATTTAGAATGGAAGATTAAGTTAAGTTGTCACCTTTTACATAAGATTAGAGCTTTTTATAGAGGGCTATGTTCTCTTTTTACAACATATTTTTCAATTTCATTTTCATAATTTAAAATGATAAAAGCTGAATAATGCCAAAAATAGCCTCCACTGTTTATTAAAATGGTCATTATGGCCCCTATTCTTTTTCTGGGAGCATTTTCACTCCCAATGTTTCACTTTGGGGCAAAAAACTCCCTCTATAGACGAAATTTCTTAGATAACACACGATTAACATTCTAAAACAAGAGCATTTTTTTAACTTAAAACGAAACGTTAAGGGCTAAAATGCCCTAGAAAAAATAATAAGGGATAAAGTGATTATTATTTCAAATGTTAGGGGTCTTTTTGCCCAAAAATTAAATTTTAGGAGGCCAAAATGCTTCAAAAAATAGAATATGGAGCAAAATGATATTTTTTATAAATATTAGGGCTAATTTATGACATTATGCCTATTGTTATTAAAAAAATATTCTTGTAGTATTTTTCCGCCGACCAAATGGTCCTAATTGTTTTTTATTTGGTTGGCAAGTTGGATACCCAAACATCAAAATTGGGCTGCTATTGTTTAGCTTTCTGGATTTTTTGAGCCTGAAAAAGGTAATCATCTGATCTGACTTTGCTTTTTTTTTTTTTTTTTTGATAGAAGACTTTGCTTGATTTCAACGTTCCAAGCTCCGAAATAATCTGTAGATCTCTGAAATTCTGGATCTGATTTTCTAATCTTTTTAGCCATCTCCCTGGAACATATTAACTACTACTCTCATTCCATGTTCACTCTAATCTACATCATTCACATTCTCCTACCAGAATTTTGGTGAGTTCACTCTTAGAATTCAAGGAGAACCAACCCATTTTGTTTATCTGCTTTACAAATCCATTTCTACTTTCCTATGCTGCGAAAAAAGAACTGCAACTTTGATGATCAACATCTGTTTATGCTTAGTTTTGTGGATTTGAATCACAAGTTATTATCCTAATTTGTCAGTCCATCCGATTGCGTATCTGGGAATGGTTAATTTGCATAATCTCGATGCTTTTCAGCTGGATTTGAATTATCATGAATAATTTTTCATTTGGGACAAGCAGTCCTAAATCCTTCAATGCATATCCACGGGGTGGCTTTGATTTAGAATCAGGAACTACTAAAAGAGCCAGGAGTAGAAAATCATCATTTTACCTTGTTAGAATGATCAAGTCCTGGGGTAACCAGCTTCATTACTATTACAAGCGGCACCCACTCTTTGTTTTCTGTATTTCCTTGGCATTTGGGGTTACATTCCTCATAGTTTTATCTCTATATGAGCACCACTATAGGGCGCTGAGTAATTATATGAAACTTGATAATGGTTTTGGTGATAATTATCCATTTGCCAAGCTTAAGAATCTTGTAATGGTTGCTGGGCATTCGGTTTATACTAGTAATAGTTGTGAAAAAGTTGATAAGGAGGATTCTTGGTTTTTAGAGTCTTATCAGAAGAATCCAGGCCAGGCTGCAACCTTTGTAGCTCACATAAAGGAAGGGATAGAAAGCACCTCACAGGATGATGAGGCCTTGCTTCTGTTTAGCGGTGGAGAGACTCGCAAAGATGCTGGTCCTCGGAGTGAGGCACAGAGTTACTGGACAGTTGCTGAATCCAAAGGATGGTTTGGTATGTTTACTTATTCAGTAATTTTATTTGCCTAATTTTATACTATGATGTCTTTCGTTTTTTCCCCAAATTTCGCTGGTGTTAAAAGGAGGAGATGTAAACTTGACAATATATAATAGTTATTCTGATTATTTACCTGGTAATGACATCCTATAATTTTATCTCTAGTTCAGATAAGTTCATGATTCTTTAACTCCAAATCTAAACCTTCTAGGGAACTTTCATTTTTGCAATTATCAAGGGGTCTTTTCCACCAGATATTATCAACTAGGAGAATTTTGGGCAGACAAAACTCTTTGTTTGGGTGCACCAGTAATAATACTAATTGTACACGAGTAGCGCTGAACTCAGTTAATAAGACATACCAGTGTATATAGTTTCATTTCACTCTTAAAGAATGGCCATCGTACTTGCCTGGAAACTGATTAAGAAATCAAATTCTCAGGGGAGCAGTTCGCTTGTGAACTCTTATAGATGTAGGTTTGAGGTTTAATCTAGGGAACTTATCATCCTACCTTATATATTCTCATTTGGATGTGTATGCTTCTTTCTTATGTTGTGGTTGAAAATTTGGTGAACAAGTTGATGTTGCTTTTCATTTTTGTTGTTAATGCTGGTTGTACCATTAGATATAGCTGTTTAGGAGTGAGACGTAAACCCAATAGCATGTTTGAAGTAGCATAGCTACTTAAAAAATGTCCAGGAGGCTCTAAATTTGCAATGGATATGTTGGAAGTTAGACACTTTAACAACAATCTGGCTTCTTCTTCTTCTTCTTTTTGAAGCATGGAATAAAAATAAAACTGGAGATTGAACTGATCAGACATCCGGTTTTTGGTTCAACCATTGAACATTTTGAATGTTGCAGTAGTTTTTTTTTTTTTTTTTTTTGCTACATCCGGTTCTTATTGCAAGTTCATAATCAAGTCAAACTTACTCATCAGGAAACACAAGTTTACTGTAAAACCAGCTTATAACTTACCATAATTCATGTCATGCTTACTTGTCTGGATTCTGGAAGTACCATAATCCAAGCTCATCATATAAATATAGAAATTACTATCCAAACTTAATGTAAGTTCAAATCAAGTGTAGGCTCATTTTCTTATCATCATCCGGAATGTAATAGATTAGGCTATTTTTTGGAACTTCTTTTATGGCCAAATATTTCAAATGTTTAAAGCTTCAGGCGCATATAAAGATTAAAGAGTTCAAGAAATAAAAAATTAAAAAAAAGTTCAAAGCACTTTTCAGAAAACACAACATTTAAAGACATGGTGAGAGAGAGAGTCTTAGGAGGTCCGCACTCCGGCGAGGATTGGACGGTGTTTGTTGATTATCTTAGCAAGAGAGTCACTTGGAGATCATTAAAGGAAATTTTTAGTCACCATGGGAGTGTTTTGAGAGTTTATATCCCGAATAGTTCTAACAAACCAAATTATAGAGATCATTCATTTGCGTTCGTTCAGTTTGCGAAGGAGAAAGGAATGCTGAAGGCGATAGAGAAGGTCAATGGTACTTGGATTGACAGGAAGAGAGTTTCGGTATGTGTAGCTAAATATCGGAGGCAGAGGTCCTTGCAAGTTGGTGGAAGTAAGTCCAGAAAAGATGAAGTTAAGTCGACTAAGGGAGCGAAACAGAGGAGTAGAGCGGGATCTGAGTCTTTTAGTCGGTTTAGGGATGAGAGGTCATATATGGTTGCTTTAACCTCGTCTGATGGGATGAGGAAAGTTCCGGTTGATGAAAAGGGTAGGGAGGGTCACCCTTGTAAAGATAATGGAATAAGAAATCTTTGGGAGATGCAAATTCCCTCTGATGAAAGGGATTGGGTGAAGAGAGCATTGACTGGGATTATCAAACCTCACTTTGATCTGGAGCTAGTGCTGAAGGGATTGGCAAGTGATGGGTTCAAGGTTAAGGGAGCTAGTTGGGGTTATGCGTGGAACTCTTGCATATTAACCTTTGATTCGGAGGAAGATTTTAAAGAGGCGTGGTCGTGCAGATTAGTGGAATTGTCCTTCTGGTTTGATTGGATTGATATCCTTCTGAATGATGACGGGGTACCGATGGCTTTCTGTTCAGTTGAGTTAATTGGTATCCCGTTATTATGCTGGAATGTCCTCTTTATGGAGAAACTTGTCTCAAAGTGGGGGAAGCTAGTCTGTATCCATGATTCGACGGTGAAGAGAGAGGACATGGCGGTGGCCAGGGCCTTGCTGAGGGTGGCCAGTCCCTATGATGTTCAGGAGTCTGTTACACTGGGCTCGTATGGGAGATCTTTTAAAGTTAAAATTAACGTGGGGTCGGTCTTTATTAAACAGGAAAGTTTTTTGGTAGGAAATTCAATGGTTGCCGTAGAGGATAGGTCCAGAGATGATGAATTTTCAGAGGATGAAGAAGAACAGTGCGCTGTTGGGGGTGGTAGACCAGACCTGCCAGTTGAGGATACTAGGGACAGAGTAGACAGATGGTTAGTAGGGGATGTAAGTTTAGCTTTAGTAGGCGATGAAGCCGGTCAGAATTTACTGTGGAAGGAGGGAGAAGGTCAATCTAGTGGAGTAAAGGTGTCAGACTGTCCAGCAGAGGATTTGAATTTGAGAGGGAATTATCAGGGTATTGGAATAGGAGTAATTTTTCTAATGAAAATGATAAGGCCCAATCAGAGGACTTGAGTGAGCCCATTAGACTGTCTAAGGCTGGGCCAGTTGTTATTTTAAAGCAGCTGGGCTGTGGTAATCTAATAGAATCTGGGGTGGTGGAACTTGGAGACTTTAAACAAAAGGAGATGGATTACTCAAATAGGCAGGGTCGGGATAGAGCTACGCGTTTGCGTACCAGTTTTGCTTAATGATGGTACGAACGTCAGTTTACAGACTATTGTTTCTAATGAGGGCTTGATGGAGGAAAGAGTAATTCGGGATAAAGGAGGGGGTAATGCGGACGGAACAGAGGTGGAAAGGGTTGAGAATCCAGTTATACTAGCTGGTTTCCAGGGGCGGATTATAAAGAAAAAGAAGTTAAGTATTGCCCCAACGTGGTCTGATAGTTCTGGTTTGGAGGGTGAAGTGTCATTTAGTTTTCATGATCGAGTTTATGAAAGACTTGATAGAGGTCTGGATAGGGAAAGTTTGGATCGAACCAGTGTTAATTCAGCGCCCCCAAACAAATCTATTGAAGCAAGATTGGAGGCTGCTGCTTCTAGAGATGTTTGTGATATGTTGGGGATCTCTTTCAAAGGGGGTAATCAAATTCTGGAAAAGGAGATCTTGAAGATGGAGCTTAGTGAGAATAATAGAAGCTCTTGACCGATTTTTTCAGGATACTAAAGGTTTTTGCTTTTATTAATTATGTCACAAATCAAATTGATTTCATGGAATGTGAGAGGGCTTGGAAAAAAGGAAAAATCAAGAGCTGTTGCTAGATTAGTTTCAAAATTCAAACCGATGATTCTGTTTCTCCAGGAAACTAAGTTGAATAAATGTCGAAAGGGATTGTTGAGGAAAATAGGGGGTAATTTCCTAAAAGGGTCTAGCTTTCAGCCATCTACTGGTTCTGCAGGGGGTCTAATCTGTCTGTGGAACGAAAATCTGTTTGAAGTTAGCAGGGAGTTTAAGCATAATAGGTTCCTTGCTTTATCAGGAAAGGTTAAGACTGTTAACTTTGATTGTGTTGTTATTAATGTGTATGGGCCGTCGGTTGAGACTGATAAAGAGGAGTTTTTAAGTGAGCTAATGTGTTTTACACAACAGCTTGATTTGCCTGTATGCTTAGGGGGGGATTTCAATGCTTATCTAGATCCCGAGGAGAAGATTGGAGTCCAACAGAATTGGCATTCTATGGAGTTATTTTCCAACTTTGTCTTTAATCTTAACCTTATGGATCTTCCTTTAGTTGGAGGGAGATTTACTTGGTGCAACAATAGAGAAGCTTCAACGTGGATTAGATTAGATCGGTTTCTATTAAGTGGTGCATTTTTTCAGGTATTTCCAAAAGTCATCCAGAAATTGTTGCCGAAATCCTTATCTGATCATAACCCTATAATTCTGGAAGATGACCACAACAATTGGGGACCTAAACCTTTCCGGTTTTTTAACTATTACTAGAGGATGAAGGGTTTGATGGGTTGGTTCATAATGCTGTGTATGATTTAAAGAGGGAGAATGCAAGAAGGGGTATGTTGAGTATTCTTCAAGGAACGAAGAAAGCTATTAAGAAGTGGCCATACTACAATAATATGGGGATTTCAGAAAAGATTTCAGAGCTCGAAAATAGGATAAACGACTTGGAATTAAAGACTCAGGGTAGGGGAACTTCAACACAAGAATGGGGTTAACTAGTAGCTTGGAGGAATGAATTGTGGGGTCTGCATAGGAAGGAGGAGAGTATTTGGTTCCAAAAATCACGAAATAAATGGATCAAGGATGGGGATAGAAATACCAGATATTACCACATTTGCGCTCTGAATAGGAGCAGAATGAATGCTATTTCGTCTTTGAAAGTGGCTGGGATTGATATTTCTGATCCCAGCATGATTAAATCGGCTATCTTTGATTACTTTAAAGTAAATTACAATGAGATAACATCTCTGGAGGTGGAGGAATGTAATCTGAATTTTGCCAAATTGACCGTGGAACAAAAGGCTGGATTAGAGGTTACTATCACTGAACAGGAAGTGTGGGATGCTGTTTTTAAGGCGGACAGTGCTAAGGCACCTGGTCCGGATGGATTTACTATGGGGTTCTTTAAAAAATACTGGACTATACTGAAAGACCTTGTCATGCAGTTTGTTCAAGATTTTCAAAGAGGGAAATTATGGGAAAAGGGAGTGAATCATTCCTTTATTACGTTAATTCCTAAGAAGGTTAATCCACAGGGAATTGAGGACTTCAGACCTATTAGTCTCGTTGGCAGTCTCTACAAGATTATTTCTAAAATACTATCGAAAAGACTAGTCTCTGTTATTCAAGGTTTGGTTAGCCCTTCACAATTCTCATTTATTCCGGGTAGGCAGTTGCTAGATTGTGCACTTTTGGCAAATGAAGGAATTGAATATTGGAGAAAACAAGGGAGGAAAGGAATTGTCTTTAAAGCTGACTTCCGTAGGGCCTATGATTCGGTTGAGTGGCCTATCTTATTCAGGATTTTGAAGGACATGGGTTTTGGGGATAAATGGATCTCATGGATTAAATGTTGTGTTTCAACTGCATCTATTTCGGTCTTAGTTAATGGTTCCCCTACCGAGGAATTCAATATTAGTAAAGGGTTGAGACAAGGGTGCAGCCTATCCCCTCTCCTATTTAATTTAGTGGGGGAATTATTAAATCTTATGCATTAAGGCAGTTGATAAAGGTCTGTTTCAAGGGTTTAGCATTGGTAGGATTGGCAATTCCTTCCAGTTGACTCACCTGCAGTTTGCTGATGATTTAATACTCTTCTGCAGCGATTCATCAATGCAATTTCTAAACTTGAGAAGAGTGTTGAGGGTCTTCGGTGTGATGTCTGGGGTGCATTTAAATCTGTCAAAGTGTACTGTTTTTGGGGTTAATATAGATGCTGACAGGGTTCAGGATTGTGCTAGGAAAGCAAGATGTGGAGTGGGGTATTTTCCAATGTCTTATCTTGGTTTACCGATTGGATCTAGGAAAAATTCAGTGGGTATGTGGGAACCGGTTGTCCAGAATTTTAATAAGAAGTTAGCTGGGTGGAAAGTAAATTCACTGTCGTTGGCGGGCAGACTTGTTTTGGTTAAATCCGTGCTTTCATCTTTGCCAATTTTTTACCTTTCTATTTTCAAGATTCCACACAAAGTGTCTCAGAAGTTGAACTCGCTGATGGCCAACTTCCTTTGGGGTTATGATCTTGAGAAAAAACGAATCCACTGGGTGAATTGGAAGTCGGTTTGTTAACCAATCGAAGAGGGTGGTCTGGGAATTCTGGATTTAAGGTTGATTAATAGGGTCCTTCTAGGGAAATGGGTTTGGAAATTTGCCAATGAAAAATATAGTCAGTGGAAGAATCTGATTTGCAGCAAATCCAACGTTAACATTTTGTCTCTCTCAATTTTAGAAGCGTCTACACCTTTTGATTCCTGGATATGGAGAGGTATCCTCAGTAACTATAATAAGAATGATCAGGTTGGTGGATGTTTGAGAAATAATTCAAAGGTCATTGTAGGGAATGGGAGGTCGATTGCTTTTTGGAATGATGTTTGGATTTCTAATCTGCCTTTAAAAAGACAATTCCCAAGAATTTATGCTTTGTCGACAAACAAATGGGGGATGGTCTCTGAGTTTGGTGAGTATGAAGATGATGTTTGGGTTTGGAATATACAACTTAGAAGAATTTTGTGTGATTGGGAATTGGACCAGTGGATTGCTTTTATGTCTTTGATTGACAAGTCGTCGCTGTCACGATGTGTGGATGATTTTTTGGGTTGGTCAGGAAAGGGGGATGGCATTTTTTCGGTCAAATCTTGTCGATTATCGTTACAAGATAGTTCGGCAGGGAGTTTTGTATGGAAGAAGTGGGTTTGGGATGGATTGGCGCCTCCAAGAGTACAAACTTTTTTATGGCAGATCTGTCATCAGAAAGTGGCAGTGAGAGTGGAATTGAAGAGAAGAGGACTTCAGATTTCGGATGTTCTTTGTCCTCTGTGTCATGCTCAGGATGAAACTATTGCACACCTGTTCCTATCGTGCCCTATTGCCTCGGATTTGTGGAGTAAATTTCTAAGGTTATGGAATATCTCTACGGTGATGCCTCAAGACCCTTCTTTAATTTTGTGCTCGTGGTCGAACCTAAGGAATAATTCCCTTATTTGGAGGTTTATTCCGGCTGTCATATTTTGGTCTATTTGGAAGGCCAGAAATCAGGTTGTATTTGAAAACGGCATATGTGACTCTACTGTTCTGTTTTTCATTACTAGATTTAGATTGGCTAAATGGTTCTTGGCTAAATACCCTGGGGTTCGGATTCTGACAGACCTTCTAGTAGGGGATCCTACGCGGGCGGATTTATTACCCTCTAATTCGAGTTCTAATAAGGCTATTTGCTGGACTCCTCCGCCATCTGATATGTTCAAACTCAATGTTGACGGAGCAGTGACTGGAGATGGGATGCAGGGTGGTATTGGTGGTGTTTTGAGAGACTCCTACAGCTGCATTTTAGCTAATTTTTCTTCCGCAGTGGGCCCTGGTCCCCCTATACTATCTGAACTGAAAGCGATTAAGAAAGGACTGCTCTTCTTCTTTTCATCCGATTGGGCCAACAAGGGAAGACTTATTTTGGAAAGTGATAACAAATATGCAGTAGATTGGATTTTAAAACGGCAACCTTCCCCTACTATTTTCAGTGAGTTGGTGGAGGAAATAGGAGTTCTTGTTACTACAAAGGGTGTTGTTCTGAGATGGGTTTCTAGGAGTTGCAATATGGAGGCGGATAGGTTAGCTAAACAGGGAATCGGATGACTGTTGAAGGTTTAGTGTTGTACTTTACGATAGTGTTGGTGTGGGGTTAGGCTGATGGGTGATTCTTTCCCATCGCTATTTGTATTATGGTCATGATGTATTTTCGAGGGTTAGAGTGTTATGTTTATCCTGTGTTTCTCAGGATCAGGATGTTTTGTGTATCTTATGTAATTCTGGTTTTTCAATAAAATGAGGTGCTCTTTTCCTCCCTCAATTAGTTTACATCAAATGTAAACTATGAGGGAGGTTCCTAATGAGTCCTCCTATTCCTATCAAAAAAAAAAAAAAAGTTCAAAGCTGCCTGTTGTAGAGTGGAGAGCCTTAAACAAAAAAAATCAAGCCTCTGGCGTCCAATCATCTTACAAAAAAGATGATTAAAGTAGACAGGAGTCTAACCTGATCTTACTAGTTTTGAGAGAAGAGAGTTATCATATTGAAGAAGACTAAAGGTAGACTAAAGGATATCCTGCCTAATGGATGAGATAAAAATCTTGTTAGAGTCAGAAGAGAGTAAAACAGACTGAAGAGATTAGAGATGACATTAGAATCTGCTTGGAAAACCAAATAATTAGGAATTACGATTCCTTATCTCCTATCTAATGGCTTAAGCAAAGTTAGCCTAGTTTGGGACTTGGGGTAAGGTTTTTCTGGGTTGGTTTACTAGGTTAAAATACATGAACAAAAAAGTCTAATCAAGAGTAGAAATGAGTAAGAACTTTGAAAAGGAGTTGTATTCTTTCCTGACTCCTCTTATCACTAAAAGTTGGAAATGAAGCATGTAGCGCAATCTTGATCTTTCAAGTCTTATTTTGCTTCTAAAGTGGAATGACTTTTCCGGTGTACAGAGTTCAAAATAAGGAACACCTACTATATTTTTATTATAGATGTAATTATGGATTGCCTTTGTGAACTTGTTCTTGATTATTTTGATTCCACGCTCATGAATATGTCTCAAGGAAAGTTTAAATGTCCCTTTTTGCTCCGAAAAACTGCTTTGATCTTTTGATCGATAAATAATGAATTTCCTTGCAGTTTCTACTCCCTAGTCGAGTTCTATGAGTTTGCTTCTTGTCCAACATTGTTCCCTGATTTTTTTTTCCAGAGCATGAAGACTTTTGATCATCTGAGTCTCATTGTTATTAAATTTTATTTCTTTTCAGGGAAGGAAGAAAATGTTAAGTGGAGAGCACTAACAGAGGAGCATGCAAGAGATAGCTTTGAGAATATTCTCTTTAGTGTTTGTCGGTTTCGAGAGCTTACTGGGACATACCCACACAACATAACTGTAAGCATTCTATATTTGTTGGTCTTTCTTACTTTTATCCCCCCCCCCCCCACAAAACACACACACAACTTCTCCCCTTCAGCATGTCTAGATATGATGAGAAAATACCTGGAAATTAATTAATTAATGTTTTTTGTCATCGTTGTGCTAATCTTCCTACTTTTAGAACAGAATAAGCATAACAGTAATGTTCAATTCCATTGATAAAGTCATTGAACACCTAAAATATCAGCCAGATAAGTAGGATTCCAGCTGTGATAGAATAATTTGTTTAGTTCTCCAAGCGTATCAGATTTTCTGCTTTCATATTTATGTCCATTCAAGTTCCAACATGAGACAATCAAAGTAATTGTAAATCGAGAAGAAGAATGTTGAAGGGAAGAGAAAGATTGCAGGTTGCTGCCGTGAAAGAACAAGGAAGAAGAAAGAAAAAAAGGGAAAAGAGAAATAGAAGAATTATGTTTCTGAAAATTCATCTTGGTAATCCCTCAAGTATGAATGGGATTTTATAGTAATCATCAACTATACAAATAAGGAATAAATATTTACAGCTCCTCAACTCTGAAGTCAATCCCTAAAATTATGCTAAACATATTACGTCTATCACAAGGGTAAATGATTGGAGAGGGGCATGCGTACACATGTCTAACTTGCCTTTTTCTATAATTTTTTGATTTGTGGAATCATCTTGAAGTGTCTAAAAAGGATCTAGTTGTGACTTATGTCCTATGCTTTTCAATACAACTTTAATAACCCAGCACGATTTCCACACAACTTCTAGATATGTCCTAGATATTTGATTGTTTGATGATGGCTGTATTCAAAAGTAATGGGGAGGAGCCCAATCTCGTAAAAAATAGGATACTGAGATGTGGGCGCTTAAAGTTATAGAATGCAACATTATTTCTAAAGTAGAGATGTGAAAATCAATCTAGATGAACTACTTCTACTTGCTTGTTTTGTGGAAACTGAACAATAATTGGGCCCAAGTTTACTTATAGTAGACAAGCTTCCTTCTGCATGAGTTATAGTGTGCATCACTCCACGTAAAATCTTCGTGCATGTTTTTCCCATTTGTGAAGTAGCTGATGGTGAAGGTGTCTCACAATCTCTAGTGTGTCAGAAAATTGAGACATAAATAAATTATCGCTCTATAAACAAAGAGTATACCACTCAAAAGCCCTAATGTCTGTATTGCCATCCAAGCTCAATCAAGCTTTCTCTGCATCTGTACGTCTATGAAAGCCCATTGGTTACAGTTAAATGTCAAAATACTTTATTTTTCTTTATTTTTGTTTAGGTTTTTCATTAAGATTTTTGCTTCTCCATTCTTTGACTTGATATCAAAGCTAGTTTCAGTTCCCATCCAGTTACCTGTTTTGACAGGTAATTTTCGAGATGGGTTAAAAAGTCTCTTTTTTCCTGCTTATAGACCTTACTACTATTCACCTTGGAAGTTAGTTTATGAGGTTGTGTCTTGAGTTTATTTTAACTATACTTACCCTAATGAATTTGTATCAGGTTGTAAGCTACGATTTCAAGGAAGAGAGATTTGCGCACATGCATCGCACTGCAATTGGGTTTCCGGAGTCGCGGTTCTTCTACAGAGGCACCCCAGCTTCAGCAACTTCAATAGAAGCGGCTTTGAAAGGTGAGGCATTGGTGAGGACTCAATTTCAAGAAGATCCATTTGGATGTATGGGATCACTTAAGAGGAAAAAACTAGGCCGTGATCCCTTCCATCGCTCAATCCCATATCCTAAAGGATGCCCGGAAATTGAAGGACTGTTTAGATATTGTGGGGCTGCTCCTTATCGAGATCCTCTGCCGTGGTCGGTATAAAGTTCCAATGACATTGTCATCACCCAACTCGCACTTTAACAGAAAATTAATGAATCAGGTAATCGGAACTTGAGTTCTTATGGTATCTTCTTTTTCAATTAAGAATCTGAAATCTAGAAACCATAGACCAGGTCATGTTATGCTCTTCTGCTTGTACGTTTGGTATCCATTAATAATTTCCAGAGATAAAATAGAATGGTAAATCAAAGGAGACAACATCCTATTTTGTACGGATGATTCAATTTTATTCATAAAACACTGAAATTTATGCATACGCATCAAAGCCAGGCTACCCTGTTTTCCGCAAGAATGGGCAGTTCAAAATCAGTTGGACGGATTTAAGTTAGGGGTGAACTTTTAAAATTTTAAGAATTGATGAACTTATAAAGTTTTAAGGGGACGAAAACACATTTTCAATTGAAAATATATAGAAAAAAAATCTAAAATACATGATAATTTTAATTTTGACAGTTTTTACCCGCCCCTCAGTCAATCCCCGACATTCACTGCCCAATTTAACACCTTTTGTAAGATCTCCAAGCTGCTCCCCACGGTCTTAAAAGATATTCATCTCTTCGTCAACCTATTTCAATGGAGAAAACATTGAATATAATTCTAGGCTAGTTTAAGAATCAGTAAAACTTGTATATATAATATAAGGTAAACTATATGTTTACTTAAACTATTACTTTTGTTTTATTTTGATACCTAAATTTTATTTTTTTCAATATTATACATATCATTTAGTTTATGTTTTATTTTAGTATATGCCGTTAAAAACTTAACGGAATTGTTATACGTGACATTTTTATGGATAAATTACATTATTCATCACTCAACTATCTTCTCTCACCTATTTTGGTTACTAAAATTTAAAAAAAAATTAATTATTCAACTTTCAAATTTGTTCATGTTTTAAGTACTCTAATTTATTTTATTAATATTTTTGTGGCATGATATTTTTATTATTTTATGAATATATAATTAAAATAAATTTAAAATTATATCACAAACCCAAAATCAAAAACCCCTCATAAATTAATAAAATAAATTAGAGTGGTTAACATATGAGTAATTTAAAAGTTAAGAGATTAAATTAAAAAAATAGAATTTCATGGTTTACATAATTTGTGTATATATTATGTGTTGTATATATATGCCTTTAACCTTGATATTTAATTAAAAAAATCCTTAAATTAGCGTTTGATATTTCTTCATTTTCTTTAAACAGAGATATTTCTTCATTTTATTTAGAATTAATTGCATCATACATCCTCAAACTATGACCTTCATTTTAAATTGATCCTTGAATTTTTTATCATTTCAATTTAATCCCCAAAATATAACTCTCATTTTAAATTAATCCTTAACCATATATTTGCTTGCATATTGTTTCTTCTTCTTTTTGCTCGACTATACGCCTTGATGCTAGCACCCAGATCGGCTTGATTCTTTCTTTTCCATGCGTTATGTTTGATTCCCTTGTTAACCCAGAGAATGAAGAGAGAAATAATGGTTCTTTGGTTTTTGACCCCTCAGATAAGGAGGAAGGATCAGTAGCCATTGAAGATGTTATCAAAACATTGCAAGTCATATTCAACGTGTTACTATTCTTGCATTTGAGATGGAACCATGCTAGATAGAGGGATGATTGTTATTCCATAAGGTCTCGGGTTCGAACACATGTTTGTAAGGGTGTATAAACATTCATTATCAAAAAGTTGAGTCTTTTAAACAGATACTATTACCTTATAATGACCCTAGATTATTAAAAAAAATTGGAAACAGAATACATGGATGAATACTAAATGCATCGATGGGGTAATAGAAAAAAAAGTTAATACAAAATTACAGAATTTCATTTGGACGAATACAAGGGTTAGTCAACATTACCTTCTTTTTCGCTTTTGCTCTGCAATGGTGAAACCTTTAACCATCTGTCTCATGTTAAACACAATGAGCAGATTTCTCGAATCATAACTTCCGATCCTCTAAACCGAATCCTTTTATAAATACCCACAAATGTTTATTTACATGCTTCTCGTTGACATTGGGACTCAAACAACATTAGCGTTCATTCGAGCTATCCCCTGGGCTTCTTCTAAGTCCTTCAGAAACCTGCATTTTAAAGGCAAACCAGTTCTGGTTAGGCAAAGTTCAGCAATCGAAAAACAGGAGGCAACCTGTTTTAGTTTATTTGATATGCCCGCGTGTATTTTGTATAAGAATCGGTGATATCCAACGCCTGCCTCTTAGTGTTGAGAACCGCTGTTCCACCAAGTATAAAACGAATTCCAGAATTGCTGGCATTTAGCTGGGCAATAGAACGCGACTCATCATATGTTGTTCCGCCAACAATGAATATAATTACCTCTTGTGGCCTGTATAGAGATGGAGCAAGCATCAATAAAAATGGTTGTCCCTTGTTCCCATATGTAATGGGATAAGGGGAGGTAAGATAGTAGGCTGCCCCCAACACTAAATTGAGAGCAACTTTCGTAGGAGACCTCCGAATTATGAAATGCCCTCCATGAGACTCGATCCCACGACCTTAAAATTAAGAACCTTGTGCTCTACCAACTAAGCTGGATGGTCATTAATTTTATTTTTGCAAGTGTTTATCATTAATAAAATCATCTTAAACAAGGAAAAATTTTCCTAAAAAATGTCATGAATCATCATAATTCTACCCAAAATGAGTGGTCTACTATAAGAATGCAGTCGAGCATTTTTAACATCATGTGATGCAACAGGTAATGCCAGTTCTAGAGCTGCAAATGAGCCAAGCCAAATGTGCTTCAGCTCGGTTGGTGGTTATTCAAATCTTCAAGCAACAACTTCACATGAGGCCAGCAAAAGAACTAAATATGCAAGCTTAAATACCAAGGGGCATCCACTATACAGTTGTTCAGTAAACAGAGATCAACAATGAACTTTCTCGAAATAGTTGGAAAACTTTACTGATAGCAACAAACCTGCCCTGCTGAAAATGATTTCCAACATACGGGTAGTCCACATCTCTCAGCCGTCCTTTGATTATGCTTTCCATAGTTTGGACAAGAAGAGGCTGGTGCTGGGTGTAGACATTCTCAACCCCCTAGTTACAAAAACTTGAAATTAATCTATAAGCAAATGAAGAAACAATATGCAAGCAAATATTTAAAACTTTTTCCATCAGACCTTTAGTCCACGAGCCATGTTGCGAGCAATATTTAGAAAATCACGATTTCCATAAAGATCACCAGTGCGCTTATCAGCCCCCGGCTTGCTTTAGGAGAAATTGGACAAGCTGTTCCACAATTGGAAACAAATTACAACCAGTTTTCCCTCATCAAATGACAAGAATAGATCATTCTTAAAACATGATTGCTGACTGATTCAGCATCAGAGAGAATTTGTTACGGTTGGTTAATTAGGAGTAATTAGGTTAACTAGTTTTAGGAAAATATTATTATTATTTTAGAAAAATATGTATTATTTTATTAGGGAAATATTAAAGACAGTATTTATGAGTATCTTATACTATTAGAAGTCTTTCTTTAGTTGGAGACGTTGTTTTTAATTATTTGCTTAGTGAGTATTTCAATTGAACTATGTAACCTCTCTTTATAAGAGGAAAACTAAGAATCGAATAAAACAAGTCAGAATTTTATCAAAAACCCCTAAAAGATTTTGGTCTCTCTTTTAAGGAGTCCTAAAGGTTTTCATTCTCCCTTTGATAAGCTGAGAGGTTTCGGTCTCCCTCCGACCACCTGAATCATTAATCCAGAAACACAAGACTGAAAATTCATAACAGAATTAACCAAAGAGTACTGACAGACTGCCTAACATATAAAACGGATATGCCAGCAAAAGAAATTTTAATCAGATAACTAGATTGCCAAAAGAGAAGTCTGGTTGAAAAAACCATCATGCATTGAAGTTCGGTTAAGGATGGTAATCCACAAACAGAATAGAAATGGACATGCATGCATGTGCATAAGAAAAAGATGATAAATAAAATTAGGATGACATGGAAATCCCAAGCAAAAGAATTTGCATGTTCGTTATATTACCCCGGGCTTGTACTTGGCAGACCGAGATTGCAGTTTGTTAAATAGCTGCATCAATTGAACAGGGCTCTCCTTCTCATAGCGCAAAGCGTACAACATTACTAGGCGAAGTCGATCAATATCAGATATGTTTTCATTGTTTAAGAGATTCGTCACTGCCTGCAGAAAAGCATGTAAAATAAGGTTGTCAGAGATCTTCAAGTGCACCACGTGTTTACAAGTATCATTCCAAAAAAATTTAAAATTTTATTCCATGATCATCTTCAAAACACAATAGTTCAAATGGAATATCGTCTATATCCCCTAACAGTAAATTAAAGATAACCACTACTGATTCAAATGAAAAACTAAATGAAGCATTAACAGAAATATTGATGCGCAATAACCAAGGACAAAAGTTGTTTCAGGATAATGTGTATTGTAAATAAACCATGGTTTCTGTTCCTATGTATATTATTTTTATCATAATCAGTTAGATGTAGATCTGTAGTTTAATTATAGATGCTATTGATCATCTTCAACAAAAATTCAAGGTAAATATTTATTTTATTCCTTAGTATATTGGCCACTATATCCAAAGATGTAATGACTGAGTAGCTCCAAATGCAACATCAGAAATAGAAAATAAACCGAAAACCTATCAGTGAACCCCATTACAGAGGAGCTCGTAACTTCCTTCTTACAGCTTTTGGGGCTTTTGAGGGTTTGCAGTCATGCATGTCAACAAATATGACTACAATTAAATACTATATCTTTCTTCTAAATTTTTGTTTCCAAGAGTATTATTTAATGTGTGAGGGGAAATTTTGCAGCTTAGATATTCTTCCATATACTTTTTGCCAGACTCGTGAAATTCAATCCAAAGGATGTTGCCTAAATCTTTCCTTTTCTTAAGACAAGAAGTCTGTGAGAGACAAAATTAGGCTTATTTAATCATAGATATTGAACCAAATGTACTCCTTGAAAACAGATTCAATTTCACATGATAACAAGCAGTACCAATCCATTTCAACAGTAGCTTTTATTGATCAATCTAAATCATTCTAAGAAGCTGCACTTTTAACATCCCTAGCAACAACAAACGCAACGCCCTCATGCAACTGCTAGGATCCAATCCTTGGTCCTTCGCCCCTTAGTGTATTTC